TTCAGCATAAAATGTTCATGTGTGTCATTTATTGGAAACGGCTATAATTTTACTGACGGAATGTAGTCGTGAAAGGGCCAACCGCGTTTCTACACCCTTGGGTTCTGGATGAGTATTGAACTGTTGACTAGCAACAATTACCTGCGATGGGATAATCATTAGCCTTGATTTTTGAATGGAAGTGAAACGTTAATCAAACGAACGTTTCATATATTAGAACTGATTTTAAATTTTTTAACCTTAATATATCTTGTATAATTTTGCTCGTAGTTTATATTATAACTATAAGAAATCCTGCATTTCATTTCCTTGTAAATAAGACTATAAATATTATATTGAGTTGCTGGGTTGTTCTGTATGCAGTTGTATGTCTTCTCCATAGTTGTCAACCTGTGACAGTAAAAAAACTAAAAGATGGGAAAAAATAAACGTTTGCTTCTGGTGCATTTTAAGGAACTCCACTGAGGTCAAAAAGCCTGAAAATTCAAAATTTGAATTTCTCAAAAAGATAAGCTGGGGCATTTAAAACAGCAAACTATGCACAGGGAAATTTAGAAATATACACTAAAAGAGGGGAAAAATAAACGTTTGCTTTTAGTGCATTTTAAAGGAACTCCGCTGAGGTCAAAAAGCCTGAAAATACACTTACATCTTATTCCAGTTATGTTGATTATATCATAAAAGTCGGATAAGACATAGGAAAACAAAATCTGAACGACATTGCTCTGGACTTTTGGGATGTTATATTTAAAGTACTAGTATGTTAAAAGTGCTTTAGTGGTCTCATCACGCAATCCGAAGAAATTCTGCCAGCGTAGAAGTTTCGTGATGGAAATATAAGCAAATATCCTACCGATATAAATTATCCAGACATTAAGTAAGCATGAATAAGAAAACTGATGAAATAACATAACAATTTACATTATAAGTACGTTACCAAAAAATGCATCAAGATTTAAATAAGTTTAGACATAATGCAAAATTGTCGCATTGTCGTACTATCATGTCTTCATACTGTCGCTTTGTCGCACTATCATATATTTTCATACTATTGCATCGTCATACTATCATCTCTTATTACTGTCGCATTGTCGTACTATCATGTCTTCACACTGTCGCATTGTCGTACTACCATGTCTTGACACAGTCGCATTGTCTTACTAGCATGTCCTATACCAACACATTGTCGAACTATCATGTTTTTATATTATTGTTGCATTGTCGTACTAACATGTCTTAAAACCGTCGCATTGTCGTACTATCATGTCTTCATACTATCGCATTGTCGTACAATCATGTCTTCATACTGTCGCATTGTCGTATTATCATGTTTTCATAATGTCGCATTGTCATACTATCATGGCTTCATACTATCGCATTGTCGTTCTATCATGTCTTCATACTGTTGCATTGTCGTATTATCATGTCTTCATAGTGTCACATTGTCGTACTATCATGTCTTCATACTGTCACATTGTCGTATTTTCATGTCTTCATATTGTTGCATTGTCGTATTTTCATGTCTTCACACTATCAGACTGTCGTATCTTTATACTGTCACATTGTCGCACTATCATTTCTACATATTGTTGCATTGTCGTGTTATCATGTCTTTATACTGTTGCATTTTCGTACTATCATTTCTTTATACTGTCGCACTGTCGTACTTTCATGTCTTTATACTGTCGTACTATCATGTATTCATACTGTCGGATAGTCGTACTATCATGTCTTCACACTGTCGGATTGTCGTACTACCATGTCTTCACACTGTCGCATTGTCGTACTATCATGTCTTATTACTGTCGCTTTGTCGCACTATCATATATTTATACTATTGCATCGTCATACTATCATGTCTTATTACTGTCGCATTGTCGTACTATCATGTCTTCACACTGTCGCATTGTCGTACTACCATGTCTTGACACAGTCGCATTGTCGTACTATCATGTCCTATACCAACACATTGTCGAACTATCATGTTTTTATATTATTGTTGCATTGTCGTACTAACATGTCTTAAAACCGTCGCATTGTCGTACTATCATGTCTTCATACTGTCGCATTGTCGTACTATCATGTCTTCATACTGTCGCATTGTCGTACTATCATGTCTTCATACTGTCGCATTGTCGTACTATCATGTCTTCATACTGTCGCATTGTCGTACTATCATGTCTTCATACTGTCGCATTGTCGTACTATCATGTCTTCATACTGTTGCATTGTCGTACTATCATGTCTTCATACTGTCGCATTGTCGTACTATCATGTCTTCATACTGTCGCATTGTCGTACTATCATGTCTTCATACTGTCGCATTGTCGTACTATCATGTCTTTATACTGTCGCATTGTCGTACTATCATGTCTTCATACTGTCGCATTGTCGTACTATCATGTCTTCATACTGTTGCATTGTCGTACTATCATGTCTTCATACTGTTGCATTGTCGTACTATCATGTCTTCATACTGTCGCATTGTCGTACTATCATGTCTTCATACTGTCGCATTGTCGTACTATCATGTCTTCATACTGTTGCATTGTCGTACTATCATTTCTTCATACTGTCGCATTGTCGTACAATCATGTCTTCATACTGACGTATTGTCGTACTATCATATCTTTATACCATCGAATTGTCGTACTATCATGTCTTCACACTGTTGCATTGTCGTACTACTAATTTGTTTTTATATTATTGCATTGTTGTACTATCGTGTCTTCATATTGTTACATTGCTATCATGTCTTTTAAATATCGCATTTTTGTACTATCATGGCTTCATACTGTTGCAATGTCGTACTATCATGTCTTCATACTGTCGCATTGTCGTACTAACATGTCTTCACACTGTTGCATTGTCGTACTGTCATGTCTTTATATTGTCGTATTGTCGTACTATCATGTCTTCATACTGTCGCATTGTCGTACTATCATGGCTCACATGGATTTCTTTTGATAGAGGTGGTCAAAGAATCTACGTAATTGATAAAATTGTATGCATATTCCTTAGTTCAAAAGCAAATTGCAGTCAAATATTTCAAACTAAATATGCAAAGGAAAATTATTTGTTGCAATAGTTCATGTTTTATTTCACGAATTTGTTCGTGTTTTTCAGAATCGAAATTTTTAGGGAGCCTATAAGAAGTTAGCCCTGTAATATAAAGGTCGCAGTTTCGAGTCCGCTCCACCAGCCGATGTCCTCCTCGTTCATACTTTTTGTCTCAGTTTTTCTTTTTTGAAAATACAACGTGACACACTTAAAATTAACATGATTCAAAAAAATTACAAAAGATTGTCCCAAACCAAACATTATATTAGGTTTATATTATATAAATACATATTATATATAAGTTAAGTATATGTGTAATACGATCCCATATCACTTGCGTCTCGGATCAAGGATGCAGATATTGTCCTTTACCATCACGTAGTATTAGACATAACCCGGATGAAACAATTGCGTTGCATGTTTTGAACATTTTAAAATATTATAACAAGAACCTGTTGAAATACGTTATTTATCTTCCTGGTTAAAACGCTAAATCGTCTTTTATCTTCTGAAGGCATAGTTATTAGAGCTGTAGAGCGACTGGAAACTTTAAGTATAGGTTATAGGTTATATACAGAGTTTTAAGAAATTAATTTTCGAGCGAACGAAGTGAAGCGACGAAAATTAGTTTCTTAAAACTCTGTATATAACCTATAACAGTACAACCGACTTACAGTTAGCCCCGCCTATTCAAATTGAGTGCATTATGTGATAGGCAGAGTCCATTAAATCAGCTTATTTAACGTATAAATTTTATACATACAGTTGAGTGAGTTACAGCACTGTATGGAAAATATTTCGGCATTTAAACAAAATAGAGCGATTTCATTGGCAGACAAACTTTGGTGAACTATGCAAGAGAGTATGTTGTAGTGCTAGCTCCCTAGTGATCTAAAAATGACCCCACTCTGCCACATAACTACATATTACATTTAAGTAGCGCATAACATTTGACCCTTTTAATGCCAGAAGTTTTGTCATAAAATCAAGGAAATTACTATATACTTTTATGGAGAAAGTTGAATAAAGTTAAGACAAAACCAAAAATTGTGTTGCAACCTCAAATGTACATTATAAAGTAGTTATATAATACACCCATAAACACTTTCAATATGATCTACGTAGATAACCGAGGTATATCGAGTGAAAAAATACGAGTTGCTTCCCTTATCTTCGAGTAAAATCGATATCGCTTATGCTAAAACAATACAAAATAAGCTGTTTTTAAACCGCTAGTTTGTTGTGATTAAATGTCCGATTGATTACACCAATAGAAAGCTTTGGATCTTAGCTTCGTCACAGTATAAAATTCAACACATCTTTGGACTTCAAAGTATTTTAATTAACTGTTAAACCTACCATATGTCAGACCTGTCGTCTGCTAGTTCTGAAAGTGTTTATGTCGCTATGGAAAGTGTATGCAAAATAAACAACTGTTAAATAAATTGATATAGGAACATCGACTATTTTTTCTGAACTGATTTTAAATTTTATTATAAATATATATTTATTCAAATATGATATGGCTACAATATTGATAATGTTAACTCTCTTTTTTTTGCTGCAGGTGATTATAATAATGCATGTATTTTTTATCATGTTGACAATACTAATGTCAGAAACACTGCCATTTATTGTGAAAGATTTGTGATCAGTTTTTGTATGGATTTTGTTTTTTAAGTTCTTGATTTAAACATGTTTCTGTGGATTCATTGTATATGCATGTATATTAAAAGATGACAGGTAATGTTTTTAAATCCTTCTGACCAAATTCCCTGTCATTTCTCCATAGAAGAACGTTAAAATCCCAAAGTTTAAACAAAACACCTTTTCCATAATAATAGCCATAAAACAGCTACTTTAAGCACGTGTTTAATGTATAAAAACACGAGAAGCGTAACAAATAATGAGCACGCATGCGCATTATGTAAATAGGCGGAGTCCATCAAATCGGCTCATTTAACGTATAAATTTAATACATGCAGTTGAGTTACAGCACTGTATGGAAAACACTTTAGCAAAATTTAAACAAAAAGTGCGATTTCATTGGCAGACAGACTTAGGCGAACTGTAAAGGTAGGAATGAGTTTGTACACAAATGCCTTTTTCCGTATTAAAAATTTAATTTGTTTTTGATATTTTTTTATCTATAACATTTTAGCGATTTAGATTTATTTTATTTTCTACTCTACTCTAATGGATTTATTTTTTCGGAAAATTTGATAATTGAATCTATATTTATTTAAGAAAAACTTTGCTTTAGTGCTATTGTTAACTGATGAAGTTTCATGGAGGGCACTGTAAGAATTTTTGACATTCTTAAAATTAAATTTAGTTAAAAATAACCACTTTTTGGCGCTAAAACGTCTTCGGTCACGCAAACGTCGCCGCCGTTTGGCGAAGTAATGGAAGTTACATTAAAAAAAAAACATAAAAAATCAGTAAATTGTTTTAGGTAGGAGAAAAGCAGTATTCGTTATTTCAATATAATATGTCTATTAATGTATTTCTATGCGCCGTTTATACAACTAAGCATGACATATAAAATGTTAATTTATAAATTCATGCAAAAATGAAAATACAGACTCTAGTTTGTAAACACAAACTTACGAATGAATCTACAGTCAATATAATATGCTCACAATTCAAATATGTATATTAAAGGATTAGCTGTAAAAGTGTTGGCTCAGGGTCTTCTGTTTGACAGACCCTGGTTGTCTTTACTAACATAAATTTGCAATACCGTTATTGCAGAAATTCTTTATAATTCAAACACTGATTCCAAGCGGAACGGAAAATCTTACTTAAGCGGAAATAGTACTTACAGCTTAGGAGTCGATATTTTTATTAATATGTCTTGTAGTTTGTAGAATATCAAGAAATGATTGTGGGTAAAATAAAATGAATTAACTAGAAATCGAAAGAAAAACGATCTTAAAAATGAGCATGAAATCAACTCTAAAATTAGGGATCTGGTAAAAGAAATTGAGTTAAAAACGAATAACAATATTTTAATGGAAAATCTTAAATCTGAGAAGGCAAAACTTTATAATATTATTGACAAAAGAATTAAAGGTATCTTGCTAAGGGATGTTTGTTTTTTGTTTGTTTTGGGTTTTACGTCACATCGACACAGTATAGTTCATATCGCGACGTTCCAGCTTTACTGGTGGAGAAAGACCTCAGGTGCCCTTCTGTGCATTATTTCAGGCACGAACGGGCACCTGAGTAGAACCACCGACGTTCCGTAAGCTAGCTGGATAGGCTAAGGGATGGAAAGTCAGAGAAAAACACAAACTGTTTTGCAACCTTGTAAAGATAAAGGCAGAAAAAAACTAATAAGCCAATTTAAAGATTATATAAATAACCGGTTTAAACTGCCCGGCAGTACTTACGCAGCTGACTGTTCCACGGTGGCGCCCCTCTGTGTTCCTCAGAAGTATGTCTTTGTTGTTTCATACTGTTTCAGTGACACCATTGTTTGTATCCGCTGTTGTTTCCTCGTCTACGGTAAGTATCTTCCCTTTTGCCCCTAGTTTTTGCACCTTTTTTTCCCGTACTTTAAATCCCCTTTCCCTGTGCGCTTTTACTTTGTGGGCCTATTAATTAATCAATTGCTTTTGATTTCTTTGTCGGTTACTATTATTTCCTTTTATGTAAAGATAACCCTGCCCGTGACCTGGTTTGTGCCATGACTTGTTTAGGTTTGGGGTCCTCCTGTGCTCTTGGCCGCTGGTTATGTTGCTAGGTCGTGTTTGGGTTACGTTCAATAAACGCCACTTTTCCTTGTTGGTATTAACCATATTTTATTTGAAACAAATCAAGTCTCTTAACTACTCTGATGATAACAGAAATCTTACGGAATTTCAAAAACAAAGTATAATTACTTTACAACCAAAGGTAGACAAAGACACTCTTTCATATATAATTTCGAGTCCGTTTTGTTTAATTAATGTAGACTACACAATAGCGTCAAAAGCCATTGCAAATAAAATAAAAACCAATTATTATTATTTGTCCGGAGCAAATAGATTTTTTATTAAAGGTAGATATATCGGGGAAATGTTAGAAATTAACAAAGACTAATGCATATCAATAATAAGAAATAGTCTCAGTCCGTCTGTCCTCTTCCGTCCGTCCATCCGTCCCACATTTTTGTCCGGAGCATATCTCAAAAAGTATTTGAGGTATCAATTTGAAATTTGTAAGGTGGATAGATGATATTCAGGAGGAGTGCATTGCATAAGAATAATAACACTACCGTGCATAATTTTTCAGTTATTGCCCTTTTTTCAAACATAATAATTGTCCAAAGCATAACTCAAAAAGCCTATTAGATATCATTATGAAACTTCATAAGTGCATAGATCTCACTCAGGAGGTGTGCAGTGCACAAGAATAATAACTCTTCCCATCATAATTTTTAAGCTATAGCTCTTTGTTATTTTTCATATTTATCTTTACACCTGAGTGGAGCATAACTTAAAAATCTGAGAGATGTCAACATGAAACTTCATATGTTGATAGATCTTATTAAGGAGGAATGCTGTGAGCAAGAATGATAACTCTACCCTGCATATCTTTTTAGTTATTGTCCTTTGTTATTTTTCATACTTTTTGTCCGGAGCTTATCTCAAAAAGTGTTTCAACTTGAAACTTCATAGGTGGATACATTTCATTGGGTAGGAGTGCAGCACACAAGAATGATAACATACCCTGCATTATTTTTCAAGTATTGCCCTTGTTATTTTTCATACTTAATTATTTAGCATTACCTAAAAGCCTTTGAGATATCAACATGAAACTTCATAGGTGGATAGATCTCATTCAGGAGGTGTGCAGTGCAGAAGAATAATAACTCTACCCATCATAATTTTTGAGTTATTGACCTTTGTTATTTTTCATACTTATTTTTTGCCTGAAAAACTCTATATAATAAAATATAAAAATAAAATTTTGCATCATTTACTAAAATTTCATTAAAAAAGAGATGTTTATTTTCCAAAAAATATATTAATTTGTACGAAATGATACACGCAGTTGAAAATAAAATCTGATCCGACGCAGTTGTATTTTTGGCAGTCTTTTCAACAGAGATAATTTTGGCAATATATGTCTATTTTACCGAATAAACACTTGCACTAAATAAAAAAAAACATCAGATAATTAGCGGTTTATAGCAATGTTCTGATGCTTTTGATTATTTAGAATGCATTGTGTCATGTCAAATATATCATTTAATTTGAACGTTTAGTACTGGTGTAGTTCTCCAGGAACGATTGTTAGGAAACTACCCGCCTATAGACCCTTTCATCAATTTGTCGCCCTTGGATGACGTCTTCGGGGGATACGATGGACAATGACGATACGATTAATAAGTACAATAATAGAGGGATATAAAGATCTTAATCCTTTCTCTTGTAAGATTGGCAGATTGAAATTGCCTAATTTTGTGTAATTGAATAAGATATTACATAAAAAGAATGGTGAAATGAATAAAAATGTTTGCTATAAAAAGGTTAACGATTTGTTTTAATAGTAGATCATATTCCTGGGTAACTGATCATGATTACAATTTTCGTTAGATTCTTAATAATGAAAATTTTATCAGGCAGTTAAATTGTACTAACTTGCTTATACTAGAGATATAGATAATATATCTATGTCTCTGCTAATATACAATACCAAAAAGATATTTTGAGTTTCAAAAATGTAAAGGTTCTGTAGCTTCGCAAAACGGCTGCGTAATATTTAATTGCAAGATAATGGTTTATCAAAAATCATTTTGATTTAAGCATTACTAAGACAATGAAAAACAACAATATAAATATACGTTATTTCAAAAAAAAATGTAACGGCATAAAAAGTAAAAGTTATTTTGAATGTACATGACTGTATACTATTTGTGTCGGCAAAAAATGCACTCTCAAAAAATCGTATATCACACCAATTTAAGCTGGTAAAGTAACATTTTCAACTTTTCAATTCATACTCTGCTTATCAAATATTTAAAAAAATCACACACAAAAAAAAAACAAGTTGTGAAACACGTTCACAGAAATTCGTGATAAACTGAATTATAATTTTCAGTATTTTTGTCTGTGCCAGTTTGTAGGACTCTGGATCGAGTATCAAATCAGTTAGGCATGACCAATAAAGTCCCTAGAATGATCCATAACAAAATTCGGACAATAAATATTTGGACAACTAACAAAAGTGACGTTATCTGATGTAATGTTATAACTCTAAAAAATGCACCCTGTTAATTAATATGTTACTACCAGTGACGCTTATATATACACATCTATTTATCTATGAAATAAGTTACTGGGAAAAGGTCTTTATTTTTATAATCATAAGAATAGATTTTTAATATGAAAATTATCTTATTATCGTCTGTTTCGAATCTAAAATAATAAAAGTCAATGCCACATGGTTTTCGTTCTTTCCGGAATATTTATAAAATTATATCCTTCACTGGTTCTTTGAAATATTTTTATACGGCATAATGAAAAAGAATCAGTAAGTATTGTCACAGAGTGCATTCTGTTATTGTTCTGTTAAAGCTTGAAAAACCATCATAAAAGACATTGGCAATCTTATTTTCATGTTTGTCACAAATACGCCAGAAGTTTGTAAATGACAGAAAATAACACAAAAATGGCCATTTAAATTTTATAATAGGCAGTTTCAGTGTGTATGGGTGTTTACAAAATATAAAAAATTTGATTTACTTATTAGCTTTTTATTCAAGAATTAGAAAACCTAGAATCTAGAAAATCTAGATCTAATAAATATATTCACTTTGAAATTTCGCTGTTTCACTCCGTAGCGAGAATTTATCTCTATCTTTGTTTTTGTATTTTTTTCTATTGTCTTGCTATTGAAATTATGTATGCATAAATTATTACGTTATATTCATAATTGAACGATCAGTATTTACGCATTTAACTTTCAATAAGCTAACATTCTATGCGACCTGCCTAGTTTTATCCCCAATTTACGTCACATCCGGCAAGGGAAGAAACTCTTCCCTGACTGCTATCGCTTAAATGAAAGGGTCTATATGACTGAAA